TAGGGTGTGAGTGCGTCTGCCTGTGGGTGGGGAATGGCTCACGACCCGTTTTCTAAAATCATATGGTAAAATAGTTCAATGATGTTATGTGAAATAACTTACCAACGTAACACAAAGTAAACCAATTGAATTTAAAACCGAGAATATCAAAATGCCTGTAACAGAGCTCAAAGACACTTTTTTAATATTATAAAATTCACACATTTCACGTCAAATATATTATTTTTGTTTTCGAACCCCCTATTCAAAAGTGCTGACTACGAGCCTGCTCATTAATATTACTTAAGTTATTTATTTGAATTCCAACACCCATTTCGATTTATAAAACGTTTATAACGTATCTATGTTTTTGTCATGTATTTCAATGAGGAGAATGACTTAGAATGCCGCCCTCCACGTCCATGTTAATGAATTTCTTTTTTTCTTTGTCGGTTAGTCCGAAATTTATCAATTACAACTATACTTTTTCCAAAATATCATAACGAAAAATATTTTTTTTTTGTATTCTGCATGAAACTATTAGATCGTTGAAGCCGTCATTTTGACAAGTTTCTAGCCTTTCTGGCTTTACTGAAGTTTTGTTTTCCAATAATATGTCTGTCCTTAACATGGTTGTCAGATGATACACTGGAAATCGTATTTCAAATAAGAACCTCTAATATGTTATTTTTTTAAATTTTATTAACAGAAAAACATATCTAACATGAGCAATCTACCGTAAACCTGAAACTGGGGTGAATAAATAGATGTCTCTTCTCAATAAGAAGAAGTGACTTCGCATTGGGGAGCTAAAGTTCGGGCTTCAATGAAACTCATTGTGTTACTTCACTTGCGAATTATAACTATTGAACAGACAAAGTAAACAGTGTAAAGATTATACACAGTGCTGCGATGAACTCAAAGTTATATATGCTAGACAAGAATTAAACAGGTGAGTTTTTTGTTTGTGATACGCAAGAATGGTACGGAAAACTGAGCATTGGCGGGAGAAATAGAGGTGAAAAGAATGTTTTGGATAGAAGAGTAAAACCGATTAAAAATCAGAACGTAGTACTGATTGAGAACGCTACAAACAAGAAATGTTGGCAAATATTGAAGAAAAATAAGGCAATTGAAACTGATCATTAATCGACCATTTCTGAATACGTTAACCATCTTTCGTACAATTTAAAATAAAACATCGGATTTCACAGTTAATATATTTCGATGCTTATAACAGTGTTTTCTTTGTAGATGGTATTAGTTTGGTATCCAGTTTTTTACTGTGATGATTCAGATCCTTATTTACCTTATGAGAAATTTAAATTCATGAATATTTTCACTACCATGTTTTAAAAAATAAGAAATCAGCAAAACAAAAGGTAAATAAACTATGGCTGGCATAAGTTATTCGAAAGTTATTCTACGAAAAGCGAAATATTGTTGACAGTAATTACAGGCCTATATCAATATTACTCATAATCACAAACAAATATACAAACAAACAACTAATCATCTTTAAGAGAGTAATCTGCATTGAGTATATAAATAGATTTACAAAAATCGACCTTGTGATAATTGACTAGAAGCTAATAAGCTTATATATATATATATGGATATATATCTGTTCTATTTTTATAGAAGAACCTTCCCAAATAAAAGAAATTCTAAAATTTAAAAATATAAGAGGTAGTCACTAAACCATGTACTTTCACACTCAAGCAAGAGAATAGACATGTTGGTGAACTAGCCTTGCACTGTGAGTGTTTTATTGTTTACACTCTGTAAAATACCAGTGGTCAAACACCCCGATAAGCACTAATG